CACCATTCTAGGTCAAATCTCTTGTTGGCTTGGACGGGCATTCGGCATTAGATGTTAGGTGTTGGTGTGATGTCTGATTGGTATTATGCTCGGACATTCGGCACCCCCTCATCACGGGGATAGGAGTAGCGACTGATGTTGCCAAGATGGTGGCTTCAAGCTTACTGATGTATTACCTTGTAAGAGCTTTGCGAATAATTAACAAAATGACTGTATGCATCATCCAGATGCAGAGGCGGGAGATACATCCTCCTTTTTCAAAAAGAAAGTCAAATCTCTTGTTTTATCATTCTTTTTTTAGATTAATCTTGTTTTATCATTCTAATGTGCGATTAAAAGAACACGAGTGTGTGCACGTGTTGCACGCGTGCAAGCTCATGTGTACCTTGTTCCATGCAATCACAGAAAAAGGGCAAGCCATTTAATTATTACAAAAGGGGTCAGCTATTTTTGGGTAGATTTGGATTGGCTATTACTTTTTTTTAGTCCGCATTCATAGCGGTTTAAGGACTTCTCGTCCCTTTGTGGTTGCTTCAATTTGAATCATCCCACCGAATGTTCTAGCGTCGCAATAGTAACTTATCGGTAGTATGAGAAACGGCAAAAGCGATTACTATACATACAGTAGTATAAAGTATATAGAGACATTTTCTTCTACTTTGGAGAAACTCCACTCCACTTCTGGGGATCTGTACCGGATATGGTACGTTGCTGGTGATAAACGGTACTTTGCGGGTGATAAAACAACGCTTCCTGACATATGCGCGGGAAATATAGGTCATGGCTTCTGTCTTGAGATGAAAATGAACCATATCCGCGTCTAGAATAATAATTCTATCAAAAAAGATCCAGTAAAATTACATCGCTGGCACAACAAGCTATCCCACAACTGCAATCACCGTCATGGCTGCGTGTAGATTAATCAAGACATGATTAGTCAAGAGGACTGTTAGTAGTGTTATCTAGCCAAACAAGGTTGTAACGTGATGGCGCATGCAATGTGTTTACTGCGGCCGTCTCCATGATTTTTTTCTGTGCCTCCACCTCGTCTCTTGGTAAAAGGGCTGATATTTCTTGAACCCACATCATCATGGGCCGGGTTGACGCCCCCTCTCGACCCCCTCCCTCCGAGACGAACAGTCCACACGCCAGGTGACGCGTTGACGGCCATGGCCCCAAGAAGCTCTCGCATGATGAAGATCATATCATATAGAGTGTGGCTAGATCTCAGTCGACTGATATTTAGCCAAGTTCAAGTCAAGTGATATAACATGTAAGAAAAAAAAACTGATTTTTTTGCAGGAATCTCAATATAAAATCTCATAAATATAGTATCGACTGAGGCACGAAGTCTTAGCCGTACCACTGTATCATATATCCCCTGATGAAACCTGGTCGATCGTGTATGCAAGAACGGACGACCGGGCGGCTGTTTGGCCCGGAGACAGTGAAAGTTGGTGGTATGTCTGGAAACTGCGGTGCCTTCTGGGCCAAGGAGCACTACACGGTCCGTTTGTTAGCTCCATTTATTGATTCTGGGCCGGTTTGGCACAGCTGAGCGCTCTACTATTTCTGGACAGCTACCATATTTCTATTAGTAGACCCGGGAGACCGTTGGATCCAAGAAGAAAAGCCCCGAGGACAGCTGAGCTGATCAACCTCGGCCCTCATCATGCCACGGTTTCAGTCCGGCAATCAAGTCAACTTGGCCGTGCGTGCGTGTGGTACTAGTATGGGCGTACTCCACTAGCTAGCTCCCAGGGTTTCGGTTAAGAAAGCGAAGAGGCAACTTAATCGCATAGTTAGCTCGTAAGGCTGGCCAGAGTGGGAGTAACATCACTAGTAACATCACATTTTTTAAGATAATTTTACTTATGTGGCATATATTTAATGATGAGAGAGGTGATGGTGGTAATTTAACTAGTTAATGTAACATCACACATATCAAGACAATATGAGTCTATAGACTAATAAATTAACCATGACATGACAACACGCATATGTTACTACCCACCG